CGCCTGCTCCGATGTAGGATTTCTGTTATAAGTTCAGTTATTTGCTCTGTACCTAGTTGAGGTGAAATGTGATGTGGCAAACCAGAAATATGTAGAACTATCCAGATAAATTGATCAATATCTTTTACTTTAATGTTCGGATTAAGTTTTTTTATCGCGTTTTTGCTGATACCCCAACATAATTGTATATTAAGAAATTTTAGATTGTTAGATGAAGTTGCAATTTTTTCTATAGCTAAATCGGAAATATCACAACCAGAAATATCGAAATGCTCAAGTTTTTGGCAATAATGTGCGATATCACAAATAGGTGCATCAGTAATACGTTTGCAGTAGGAAATATTTAGATGCTTTATATTGCAACATGATCGTGCAATCTCAAAAATGGAGAAATCAGTTATTTCCTCATTATTATGAATATTGAGATGTTTTAAGTTTGAATATGAATATGCTATTTCAATAAGGGCTGTATCATTAAACCCTTTACTAAAATTGAGATCTAGATAAACTATACTGGGACATACTTGTATAATTTTACTGATTTTTCTATTTGAGAGATTATGATATTTTACAATTTCAAGATACTTTAAGCTTGAACCATAGAGAGGCATAGGTTTTCCACGTATTGTTTTTATAAACCTTTTTAACTGTTTATAGTCATAATTTACAATAAAATGACGGCTTTTTTTCCCATTCAATACAACCTTACTCTATAGAATAAAAGCACCACAGTGATACCAAAGATGATTGACGAATAGGACAGGATAAAGGGATTGATGGATTTCTAAAAAATATAAGATCTGTTCTAGCAATTCGGGTAAATCAAAAATATTTAATCGTATCATTTTCAATTTGTGTATTATATATCTTTAATTGAAAAAAATAACTAATGTTTGGATAATTAATTTTAGGTATATATACTATGCATTTTCCGGATATTCTTAACTTTGCTTAACTTTACAACCAGCTCATCTAATGACAGGTTTGTTCCATATCTTCAGACTTCTAACTAGTTATCACGAGACAATCCACAGAGGAAGTATTCCTTAAAGTATATTCGTTATTATTTACTCCCAATGCTATTATGATGGAGCTTATTCGAATTTTGATAATATCGATCTTTGGCTTGCTTCATAAATAATCCACCTAGTCGATAGAGCCATTTAATTATTGCGTACTGAATTATTTTAGCTGAATATATTTGTTTTTTCCATAAATGATATGTCTTCTGGATAATTAATGATGCACAGTTTTTTTTATATAATGCTAGTTAAACTTTAAAATTTCTATATTCAGGATCATTACCTATTTGCTTATGGCTGGTTAAATTATTTTTAATACGAAATACAAAATTCTTCCAATAATCTTTACTATTTATTTCATATCCTAATTTTAATAAACGCTTGCATATATATTTTGGTGAATAATATTTAGCAAATCGTAACCATGCTTCTGACGTTTTAATATTGTTAACAATATAATTTTCAACATATTCACTTAACCTGTCTCGCACTCTGCTATAACTCATTATATATTTACTACTTATTTCAGACGTATTTAATATGGTTTTAATTTTTGCATATATAAATGATTAGAAGAATAAAATCAGATGCTACATGCTTATTACCCGAAGCAATTAGTGATATAATTACTACTAAGGATTCAGCAAATGCATTATGGGATCTAGCTAAAAAATATAATGTATTATATGCATGAATTCGTGAAATATGAGAATTTGCTATTGCTATAAATAATTAATATTTATTGTATTATGAAATATGCAATAATGTACAATGCAACATGGTACGAAATTTTTGGCATATATGCTATGCATTTCCCAAATATTTTCAATTAACTTAATCTCACAACTAGTTCCATTGAGTAATGTAAGAGTTTTATTTGGGAAGTCCAGTTTCATTGCATTTTTCTGGAACCACGGTTGACCCAATATTAGTACTGATTCAAGTTCGGATTCATTGGTAACGAAAACATCAGTAACTTTTACTTGCTTCCATTTACGATCTTGAGATTGGATCAAAATCTCTATTGCACGAATTATTTCCAATATATTGAACTCGCTAATGGGACTGTATATTTCTGTATTGGAGGTATTATTAATTTTCAAGCCTACTATTTTTGCTATACTCTCACCCATAATATTACAATTGGCACTGGAATCTAATATAGCTGTAACAGGTACTTTATTAATTTTACAGGATAAAGTTTTCATTGTGATGTTTTATTATAACAATATATTTAATTATATTTTTTTATAGCATATTAATAAATAATAATTTCGTATTTACAATGACTAAAGTTAATAGCAATATTGGACAGACTCATCAGAATTTACAAGAGAATGATAATACAATCACATCGCTAATAGAATCAGTGAAAAAATTATCAATATTGATCAATGGTAAGAATACAGAAGTAATTTGTAACTCACGTTCAGAATGTCCAATTATCACTTATGAGAATGCGAAAAAATTGGAGTTTGTAAAAGATAAAAGTTTACCCAATAGCGAAGCTAGTGCCAAGGCACATAATACCGATAAAGCAGTATCTGATATTGTTAAGCAAGTATCGGGTAAAAAAATCTGGATCTCTCTTCACCGATTACTAGAGATAATAAAACCCGAGGTTCGTCAAGAACTTATAAATTCGATAGTAAAACCTGATATATCTCAAAGAAATCATACACCATGCGAAGCTAAAAGAAAGTGCAAAGCTAGAAAAAAACTAATTTTTAATGATACCGCATCTGAGTCCTCGTCTTCATCTGAATCTGGGTCTGGGTCCGACTCTGAATCGTTTAGCTACAAAGTGACTATCTCCGACAACGATGATAAAAATTTTACTGTGGATATGATGAAAGCAAAGAAGCGTAATTAATCTCGATCATGGATATGAAATGGTCTTGCTTGCTCAGAAGATTGTCCGCGCCTTCTGTAGTTTACTACAACGTAATTCTGAATCAGAGAAGTGTGGTTATCTACGCTGTGGCGTAAACACTCTCCAGCAATTGTATAAGCATGGGCCATATTCTTAGCCTCATGTGTTACCACACCATAAACTGCCCCTATTTTACATAAATATTTAGGAATTAGATTATATTCTTTTAAGAATCTATTGAACCATTTAACTCCTGGTTTACCTGGATTACCCATTCGGCCAGAAGATATTGCACGCTGAATCCAAGTGAGTAATTCTCTGGCTCTTTCTTGATCCTTCTCCATAGATCTAAATTTTCTAGGAATATCTGATTGACCTCGATTCTTTGCATAACCCGTTACTCCAGCATCTATAATACACAAAGTTATAAGTTCAGCGGGACGTATACAGAGCATTACCATAACGTCAGCAAGAGCCAAATAATCAGGTGGAGTTTTTAAATCATACGCATCTAATCTCTCTTTGACCGATTCTAATGTAAATTCATCCGGATAGTCAATACATTTAGTTTCAGCCTTTTTCCGACTGACATGCTGGATTTTGTTGGCATCTTCTGTAATATCAGGAAATTTCGTAGCCTCAATTATCTCAAGTGATGCATTAAGGTTCCTTAATTCTCTGCAAAGACGAGTAAGACGTGATGAGCCAGCATTAGCATTTAATGCTAATAAGGCTAAGGTATTGTGGTAGAATAGATAACTTAGTCTTATTTTTACTTATTTTTATCGAATTATTATTAGTTTATTTTTAGCAGT